ATTATATTATCTATCGCTGAACTAGAATTATTTTGAACTCTTGTGGGAAAGTTAACAGTACTGGAGAGATTGTAAGATGATAACAAAGAGTCTAAATTTAGTTTCCTATTACTGTCGATGAGATAGTTTATATTTATATCACCACAAATTATAAATTCAACTTTTGAACTATGCAGTACATTTAGGATGGTTTCTAATCTATTTATAAAGTGATCGAAGTTTCCAGATGGGGCTCTATATAAAGTCAGTATACAAATATTAGAAAAAGGAGAGTCTAACTTTAGAGCACATGCTTCCAGATAATAATCTTTGCAATAATCTTCTAAATTTATTTTAGTAAATTTTAGGTTTTCATGTACAAAAATACTCACTCCTCCTTTCTCCAGTGTTTTCCTACAGTATCTAGCACCTAAATTATATATTTGTTATACACAAACTGTAGAACTTCATTCATGAAAGTTGCAATTTCATTATACAATATTACATTGGACCAGAAAAGAAATCTATTTTGTAGCACTGATCACATCATCAACATAGTCACAGTTTAGATTTGATGTACCACATACTGAAGCACAAAAAAAAAACACACACGCACACAACAACAACAACAACAACAACACTATGTTCCCTTGGCTGACAAATGCATGAAATCTTTTACTTCAAGCCAGCACATGTCTGTGAATATCTAGGTCAACCCCTTAGCTCTTCAGAACAGACATTTCAATATTATGTTCAGTGCTGTACTGTGGTTCTGCAAAACTTTACTGACAAGCAGTGGTTGCTCAGTCGGTATAGTTCACTTGTGGACTACAGGCCACAGAGTTTGTTTTTGTTTTGTGCTGTACTGTGGTAATATTTTTGTACTGAGATGATTAAACCTTCATGACTAATTATGTATATCAGATAATTTTATAATTTTTCAAACAGTGCTGAATAACTTATGATTTTAATAGCTTACCTTATTAACTGGGGTACACAGTAGCATACTTAGTTGAGGCACTATGCTACAGGCCAAAAGGTCATGGGTTAGATCCCCAATGAGGTCACTGGATTTTCCAATTGACCTAATCCTTCCAGCCACACTATGATTCTGGGGTTGACTCAGCCTCTAACAGAAATGAGTGCCAGGAATCTTCCTGGGGGTAAAGTATTGCAGGCACATAAGGCTGACAACCTCACCATCTGTGAGCCAATTGTCTAGAAAATATCGAAGCCTTGTAAAAAAAAAAAGTAAATCTATCCCTGTAACAGGCCATGAAGGCCCATAGGGTTGTGAGACGTTGAGGGTCCCACATTATCTAGACAATCGGCTCAAAGATGGTGATAAGGTTGTCAACCTTACGCGCCAGACGCACTTTACTCCCCAGGAAAATTATTTAATTAATTCCTGGTACTCATTTCTGTTAGAGGCTGGGTCAACCCCAGGGCCTTGACGTCTCATAATCCTATGAGCCACCACAGCCTGTTATAGGGATAGTCTGACCCTACCCTTGGCATTGACCTTCATAACCGAACATCCTGTATATATTATATGTGAAGAAAGTCACCTGATTATAAGTGGAGATTTGTGTGATAGCTCTTAAAACGCCCATTTAACTTAATTCTGCTTCACATCCACTGCATCAATAAACTGTTTCTCTTCATTCTCCATGTTTTGAGCAAATGACACATCTCATATCTGTGGCTCAGCCTTCGTTCCTGTTGCAGGAACTGGCTCTAGAAAATGATGTTAACTCATTCACTTTGACAGCAGTTCAGATGAAGGATGACCTTACAAAGGGCAAGGGACAGCAGACCTGTGTTTCTCTATGAGACCTTGGGTAAAGAGAAGCCTGAGATCTGTTCCCTTATTGTTTAGCATGGACTGGTATGTTATCATAGAATTATGGATAAATAACATCAAGTAACCTTTCCTTGTACTCAAGAAAATAAGGCTGCAGCATCTGATCTCTGAGATGAATTGCTCCCATATTCCAACTGCAGTCATACACTGAAACAGGTTTTGTCTCTTCCTTATTTGCTTTATTTACATCAGAGCAAAGTTCATCCATGTGATACACTGAAATCATTGTAACTCTCTTCTTGGGTCGTGCCATAGCTCAAGCGGTTAGTCGCTGGCTTCCCACCGCGGTGGTCCGGGTTCGATCCTTGGTCTGGTCAAGTTGGATTTGTGGTGGACAAAGTGGTGCTGGGGCAGGTTTTCTCCGAGTAGCTTGGTTTCCCCTGCCAATTTTCATTCCACCAACTGCTACACAATCACCCTCACCTATCATCTGGGGCTGGTACAATAGGCCAGAAGTGACCGCAGTACAAGGGACTTAGACCCACGCCACTAGCAGTACTCTTCTTATTCTGACAGATGTATACTCTTACATCCCCTGAATGCTAACAGCAGTACTCCACCTTTTATCCTTTACAAAGGGGGAACATTTTTCCCGTTTGTACATGAAGGGCCTACATAGTCTGTGCCTTTGGATTTCAAGATTTTGGCCATCTCTAGGAGAACTATAAAAAACTGTCCATCCAGAAAGTGTGGCTATGATCAAGATGTTCCACCAACTGTATAACTGTTTGTGTCTGCATTCACATAACGATTTGTCAATTCAATGCCATGCCCTGTACAATAAGAATACAGCAAGCATAGCAAATGCTACATTCCCAGATTACTTTCACTTACTATTAGCTGCATCTGAGCTGTGTCAAAAATGATTTCAAATATGTCCACTATATCCAAATTAGATATGCCAAACTGTGGGCTGTACAGGCCATGAAATGTTTCCCATATTGCCCTATTATATCAACAACAAAATTTTCATTTATGAATTCACTAGTTTAAAACTCTATGAGCATACTACGGCTGGCTAAAGGCCTGACTATGATGACTGTAATATCAGACATTTAGATTAGAGTCTCAGTTGTCAGCTGCAGAATAACTATAGTCATTGATTGATTAAGAAAGAGTTAATTCATTTCATTACAACTAGATGCAAACGACATCCCAACAGACTATTTCATTCCTTAACTAGAGGGCACAGAAATTAGGCTTGCAGTAGAACATACTGTACATACGAAACAACAAATTGGGCATTTAAATCACACTGTAGGGTTAATGAACCATGTACTTCACATATTACATAACTGTACTGAAAAAGGTAAAGTTGTCCCTGTGCTTAACTAAGTAAGCATTATACCATTAAGACCCACGGAAGAGTGGATGTATAGATCCAAATTTTCTTGACCTTGGCACTAGCTGGAGGTGTGGTCAGCTTCACAACCAGGCCACTTTACGCCCAGGGAGAGTCCCTGGTACCCATTGGAAAGGAGGCCCCAGAACCAGTCTGGATGATTTCAAGAAAAGAAAATTCTTGACCCTAATGGAACTCAAATCCAGCAGCTCTTGTCATCCAGTCTGTAGCCAGTCACCATACCAACTGTACCATCCAAGCTTCCACACTTTAACTGTGTGGGCACCAAAATCCACCCGAGTTTATGTATTTGTGAACAGAACCTTGGGGGGATGCACTGTAAACAGTGACTGTCCCTTTCAATTTACAGTTATTTCATACATTACTATATGTTCCATTGGATGGCACAATTATGACGTCTTTTAATTTACTATGTCAACTCTTTATCTAATTTCCCATAATATGTCATAATAAGATCTCAATCTTGTATTGGTGGGTTCTTATTATCTGCATATTGTAAATATTTTAGAATCTTGAATAAATGACTATCCACTATCAAAATGTAATAGAAAGGGAGGGAACAGAGTTCATCCTTGGCCTAGTACAGCTTCATACAAAGCCTGGGGTCATGACCCATCTGAAATGTAATTGCAAGAAATGCATACAGGTTCTTATTTGTATCTGTTGGGAATCTCAAATGTCTGATTTATTTTTTGTTTGGGCATCTTGCTGCATACAGTGGTTGGTCTCTTGTGCAACAACTGATATTATGGTTTGTAAATACACCAAAAAAGAAATCAAAAGGTGAATATTAAAAGATATCAGAAAAAGCAATTTTGTTTGGCCCAGTTCATTCTCCCACAGATTGGTGCACAACTGTCTTTATCAGAAGGAAGTTCACAGCACCACTCTAAATTTTCATAATATTATCCAGAAGATGCAGGATTTTCAATTGGAATTTCACTGATCTCTTCTTCAATATCAGCTTAATGTTCTTCAGCATCATGAAGAACACAAGCTAAATCAATTAAAAACATGGCTTCAGAGGTCTGCCATACCAACTGCAGTTGACTGCTATAATGAAAATATGGGTGTGTGGAAATAAAAAGATCCATAATGTAGAAAATACTCCTCCCATGAAGCTATAATCTCCTGCATCACCTCTTCACACTATCTGTAAGACTACGTCATAACAATGTGCAATTGAACACAATGACATAATTGCACTCATAAGCATTACTTCATTGTTCTCACATATTTCACTTCCCCCACATACAATGTCAGACTTCAAACCATTCCTATTATTACAGATGCCAAAAAAGAAATGAACAGAAAAACACTTCCAAAGAGTGCGTTCAGTGTAATGATACATTGTTGCAAGTGATTGGAACACCTTTTTACAAGGGAAAAAAATTCCTGGCTCTTATTTTCGTAGTTTACTTTATGACCTACCGGTACTCAATAGCACTAAAGTGTAGTAGATTCTAAAGGGTTTTGATGATGACACAGAAGTACTGGCTTTTTGGACTTTTTGCATCATCCGGAATTCTAGCAAATATATGTAAGTACAGACATGGACCCAATACACACTGACAATGACAGAAAGAAGGGATAAAATTATTTTATTACTGTGCAAAGTTTATAAAAATTAAAATAATTGTGAATTTTCAAAATGTTATATTAATTCCTGATACACTATACCAAAATGTTAATCAGGCAGAAAATTGTATAAAAATTTAATTATGTATTCCCTTGAGTATGTGACAGGAAAATTTACTTATCTTAAACTCTTAAAATGTGAAATTAATGTCAAACTTTGTCCCTTCAGAATAGGTTAACTGACAGGAAGTTGACAAATATAGAGTTTCCTCTATTTATGAGTATATTCTACAAATATGACTGGTACTTCAAATTTTCAGAATTTTATATTAACTTGTGAAATTTGACAGTTGCAGATATATCTCAGAAGATTACTGGGAATAATGAATAAAAGCACCCATGGCGATTATCTGAAAGCAGGGATATATGTCTCAATTCAAACTGGTTCCTTTATTTACATTTACCCTTGCTTCTAAGGTTTAAAATTTGTATGCATTTTAATACGGAGAAGGAACAATCATTAAAAAGCTTATTTCAACTGAAAGGAGTAGTACACTGAATATATCTTCTTCAAATTTGACTAGGCATTGCTGTATGCACAAAACCATAAACACTTCCCAATCTTTTAATACTCATTAATAAGCGAAGATGTTTAACTTGATTACCTGGCAATTCTTATTTGCACTTCTGCTCCCATTTGAGGAAGAGGCATTTCCCCTCATAGGACGAGCCTTATATGGTACTTTAGCTGATGCATTTTCTCCATGGTGGCGACCGAAGTGTTCCTTAAGCTTATCCCGTCGTGAACTTGCATACTCACACTGAGTACATTTAAACGGCTTTTCCTCAAGATGAATGCGCTCATGTCTTACCTATAAAGATAAACTACCTTCAGTGAGCAATTCTGTATTACAACAAAGTGGTGCAAATGACTCTATCTCTACAATTTATAATAAGTATAGTTATAATAATGTAATTTCATAGCTTCAAGCATGACTCAAAAAGCAGACTATTCAAATTCATTTTTATGCATTCTTTGCAAGAAATGGTTGGAATTCACTCATATTGGGAAAGTATATCCAGTTGTGTTTCATCTAAAAGACTGTTATATAGAACTTTACTAAATTTCATAGTGCGGAGGTTTAGTCACCAAGAAAAACTTCATTTTTGTCTGTATTGCTTCAAATACCCTCTACACAAAGATCAGACCAAACCAAACATGTCACGTTTCTCAGAAGCAGTTAATACAAATAACTATCCCACAACATAAAATAATAGTAGTATCTACAGCTCGTATTAAGAACATTTTTCAGTACAGTTCATGTTCAATGATATGCAACAAAAATATTCTGGCATAATGCCTTAAATAGGCCACCACAACTTCCGTTCATATCCTACCAGATTAATTATTCAAATTACTACTAATTCAACTCCAACACTAGAACATGAAAGATAATTAAACTTACGAGGTGGCTCTTCTCAAGGAAACCACGACCACAGATACTGCATGAATGTGGGCGAACTCCAGCATGAGTGCGAGCATGTGATCCTAGTTGTGATTTCTTTGGTGTTGAATATTTACATTGTGGATATGAACATCTGTACACATCACCTGACAAATGTAAATTTATCAGTTCACAAGTAAATTACACATTTAAATTAATACATGAATCAAATAACTTATACATATATATATTGATTTAATCCTGAGTGAAAAGTTATCATCCAGTAATGGACTTCTTCTTTTACAAAAGGAGATGGATTTCTTGAAGTGCACTAATTAACCTCAAATTTGGTGCATTAAAATTAATTTACCATTAATTTAATGGAAAAACTAAACAATACACAAATTACAGTAACAGAAGATAAATATACCACATACACACAGATACATTTATATATTAAAATGAAAAGTAATCACTTTGAAGGGAACATTGTTAAAAATGAAGCTGAACAGAAGTGATGAAAGAAAATTGTTCTGAAATGTCATAAAAGACTACCTTCATATTACATAAACTGTAGTCATATTAATGCCCTGCTATTTGCCTCATATTTTAGTAACACAAATTTCTAAGCCAATAGCAAATATAATTTAATATAAAACAGGCATGTTGAATCACATGCAGAATCTTAGTGCAGCCAAATTTATATTGCATGCATTTGCAAATATATTATGTAGTATGGGTGTCATCTTTTTTGGAAAACAGTAAAGATTTTATCTACATTAGATTTGTTGGACATAACCCCAAAATGTTGCATAAAAACATGTTTGTAATCACTGTCTTACAAGCAGTAATTCATATAAAATTTGTAGGTATGTTGATCTTTTATCTCTGTACCAAGTGGCCTCCATAGTCTAGGGGTAACGTTCCCACCTCATGACTCAAGGTACACGGGTTCAAAAACCCGGCGGAGGTCATGGAATTTTAAAGGGTGGAAAAATTCAGGGAACAAGTCCTCCGGGAGGGACTTTAAGCTGTGTGTCCCGTGTCGTAGATTTACCGCACATAAAAGAACCTCATGTCTCTAAGAGACCGCTGAGCTAAATTAGGCCCAACATTTCCCGCCCAAAGTAGTTTCCAATGCCTCCGGTAGATGAGGAAGTATTAGGTACCACTGCCAGAGGAGGGACGACCTCTCTGACAGAAAGGGACTAAAGTATTAGATACCACTGCCAAGTAGAGGGTAGAAACCTTGCTGGCAGAAAGGGACTAGGAACCCCTGCCAGAGGAGGGACGACCTCGCTGACAGAAAGGGACTAACTATTAGATACCACTGCCAAGTAGAGGGTAGAAACCTTGCTGGCAGAAAGGGGCTAATAGCGAGCACCAGTACTGGTAGGGGATGGAGACTGTAGAAATTAAAAGGGGGACATACAATAGATTATCAGTCGCAGTGCATGGGGAAACCCACCCCCTCAATACTGAATCACTGAATCTCTGTACCAAATTTAATTTTCCCAGCTCCTACAGTTCATCAGTCACCCTCTTCAAACAGAAAGCTAAATTCTGATTTCATGTGACCACCATTTTTCTGTTTTACATTCTTTAATAACAACAACTCAACATAAGCTATGTATTCTCTTAAGATATGTAGTGGCGTATTTGATCAATGTGTTGCCAGGCAACAGCTCTGTAAACACAATACACGACTGCAACAGTAGAGCAAACTGTGTTTCCCATGTGTCCAGCAGCTGGCGCAGGAGCAGTGATGTCACACAGCAACAGTAGGTGGCCATTACGTGACGTATTTCCTGCATGTCCGTCAGCTCGCACATGTGCAGTGACATCACAGCAACAATAGGTAGGGGTCACATGATATGCGTTTACTGTTGGTCAATGTCAGTCCCTCAGCTATATAAGTGAGTGACAGAGTCCTGAGTTATGAGTTCATCGTAGAAGAAGAAATAGTATTGTGGAAGCATGCGAACAGAGCAAATTTGAACTAGGAGTACAGAAGAATACAGGAGGTCAGCCTGCGAGGATTTAAAGTGTGATTTGAAGATTCTGTTTATGCATAACGCTTGGAGTATGTGATTCAGTAAGACTGTTATAGTGCCCATGTTATAAACCCATGAAGACTAGTGAACAGTGCTTATAAGAAAAGTGAATAGAAGACCTGTGAAGACTTAACATGTGTGTTATAATTATAGTAATTTTGAAAGTGTTACAATTATTTGTAGTTAAATCTAGTGAAGATACAATAAACCAATTCACCAGTCCAAACCCGTGTCTTAATCACTGTAACATGTGACAATATTATCACACATCATTTCAGGACCCTAGACAAGTGGTGTCAGTGTTGCTCCCACTTCACAACTGAATTCATCTGTCATGTTGCTATTGCTGTTTGTAGGTAATTAAAAACTACACTGTTCAGGTGGCCCATAAGTGCATAACGATTATACCAAATTTTGTGAAAATCAAAAGTTGAAGTGCAGAACACATACATGTATGCAAACACTATGGTGATATAAAATAAGCCCACTTTCTTCCCTTAAGAGAGGAAATTAGTTTAACAAAAATGACTTGTTCTAGGAATATTGCACAACACTATGTTCACATTTTGTACAACAGAAGCTAGCTGGTTATACTCTGTAAATATCCAATTATAGCTGCATTGTGAATAACTATAATAACAGAATAAACTGATATTAACTTTTCAGATGCACTGAAAATATTTATATGAATGTTTGTAAAACAAAGAGATAATGTATTCATGCATCTATGTATAACACAGTCTGTCAATAATGCAATGAATTGTTCCTTTTTCTTCCACTTACACTTTTTTAACACCACATGTTTTGGTCCTAGATGGCCATCTTCAGGTGTCTTAATATATTAAAACGGCTACACTGCATTAATATGCACTAAATCAAATGCTGTAATCCACTTAATTTAATAAAATGAGATAAAATAAAATAAAATACATTAAAATTTTCTATTGGAATTTTTCATTATTTTTGTGAAATTCTATTCCACCTCACAAGGGGTGCCGTCCACTTGTTTAAAACTATACACTTCTCTCTAAGTGTTCTATTGCAGCAGCTTGTTTTTATGTTCATCAGCCTGTTGTTCTGTTTCATCTCCAATCTATAATATGCCTCTTGCTTGTCCGTTGTTCCCTCTAGCAGCATGTGGTGTTGTCTTCACTAGTGCACTAGTGAAAGTGAAAACAACATCACACTATACACTCTACACACTAGTGCACTAATGGCCATCATTGTAGCAGTCACACACTTCCTGTTTTTCTTAAATACACAATCATATTCTATATATATCCCTTAGAATCACAAAGCTTGTAGATTTTCAGTTTCTTTGGTATATACTGTCTGAAGATGACTCTGACTTTGAAGAACACAACAATTTCACTGACTGGTAAACACTCAGTTTGATTTTAATTGTTTGCATATGCATCACTAAGCATATCAAATCCAACTCCATTCTTGTCCTTGTACTCTCATCTACTCATTTCTCAAGCTTATTGCCCACAAATGACCTTTGTTGTCCCCTATAAATCTTCGGCACAGTATTACAGAAAACACATCACGTGCTTGCTAAGCACAATTGTGGTGTGACATCATTGCACATGTGCAATCTGCACGGACACAAAGAAACCACTGCTTTAATATCGTTGGGTGGCTGTACTTGTTTACCAAGTCGTTGCCTAGGATCTGGTTGCATAACTAAGTTGTTCTATTATTGTGTGTGTTGCTCAGCAATGGCTGTCTCTGAGGCTGAACAGTACTGGTTTGGAGTAATTACATCACAGTATCATGAGTATACAGAGAATACAAAACTAAAATGAAATAAAGGGCTGCTAGCTCGTTCGTGAGCAACTACCAAATGTTTTAAAAAAAATATGTTAATATTATGCATTGCTCTGGTAACCAGAAATTGCATAATTCCAGAGGTTTAATGCGACAGGTTATATTTATATAAGCAGGAAGATACAGGGTGTCCCAGGAGGAATGGACCAAACTTCGGGAGGGTGTTCCTTATGTTAAAGTATGCCGATATAACCCAAAACACCTATGTCCAAAGTTGAACGGTTACGGAGATAATGGCCCGAGAAAAGTGTGGTCTTCTGGCAGGTCCACGCACT